AATATTCCGGGTACAAAAGTGTACAGATTCCACTCACTTTAAATTAAATCAATCAACTTTTAAATTTTCTGACAGATTCCCTGTCACTTCGGGATTCAATAATTCTACACAACATTCATTTTTTTTTCAACCACTTATTATTCGAAATAATTTCAACTACTTCTCCCAACTACTTGCACCCACCTAAACCCACTCCCAACTATCAATAATTTTGATCTAAAAAAAATATTCCGGGTACAAAAGTGTACAGATTCCACTCACTTTAAATTAAATCAATCAACTTTTAAATTTTCTGACAGATTCCCTGTCACTTCGGGAATCAATAATTCTACACAACATTCAATTTTTTTTCAACCACTTATTGTTCGAAATAATTTCAACCACTTCTCCCAACCACTTGCACCCACCTAAACCCACTCCCAACTATCAATAATTTTGATCTAAAAAAAATATTCCGGGTACAAAAGTGTACAGATTCCACTCACTTTAAATTAAATCAATCAACTTTTAAATTTCCTGACAGATTCCCTGTCACTTCGGGAATCAATAATTCTACACAACATTCAATTTTTTTTCAACCACTTATTATTCGAAATAATTTCAACCACTTCTCCCAACCACTTGCACCCACCTAAACCCACTCCCAACTATCAATAATTTTGATCTAAAAACATATTCCGGGTACAAAAGTGTACAGATTCCACTCACTTTAAATTAAATCAATCAACTTTTAATTTTTCTGACAGATTCCCTGTCACTTCGGGAATCAATAATTCTACACAACATTCAATTTTTTTTCAATCACTTATTATTCGAAATAATTTCAACCATTTCTCCCAACCACTTGCACCTACCTAAATCCACTCCCAACTATCAATAATTTTGATCTAAAAAAAATATTCCGGGTACAAAAGTGTACAGATTCCACTCACTTTAAATTAAATCAATCAACTTTTAATTTTTCTGACAGATTCCCTGTCACTTCGGGAATCAATAATTCTACACAACATTCAATTTTTTTTCAACCACTTATTATTCGAAATAATTTCAACCACTTCTCCCAACCACTTGCACCCACCTAAACCCACTCCCAACTATCAATAATTTTGATCTAAAAAAAATATTCCGGGGGTACAAAAGTGTACAGATTCCACTCACTTTAAATTAAATCAATCAACTTTTAATTTTTCTGACAGATTCCCTGTCACTTCGGGAATCAATAATTCTACACAACATTTAATTTTTTTTTCAACCACTTATTATTCAAACACTTCCTCTCAAACACTTGCACCCAAATACTCATAACTACTATTATTAAAGAAATTACACACACCTTTCCTACCAAGTACTAATTTTTTTTTACTATAAAAGGCTCATCACTATCCTCAGTCACCATATTCTTGCTATCTATTTATCACCTTAGAGTTCCTAGCTATCTATCATCAACTCCCTATATTTCCTACGATATTACTTACCATATACAAAAAAATGGCAACTGAGCATAAAACTCCAGTTTGTGTCCACTGGAATGGTTCTATTATTATGAAAGATGATGAAGTAGAGTATTCCATTCCTCCGAGCGCAGCGCTGTTAATCAGCAATGACGATGGCTTTAACGCTATAAACGAGCGGATTGTCGAAGAGTGTGCGCAGAGAGGTTTTGGAGAAATTGTATCCATTCACGGAAAATTACCAAATTACAAAAATCGTGTGTATGTGGCATCAAGACTGTGGCCCATCCATGATGATGATACTTGGAAGCACTTTTTCCGACTTGCTGAAAGAGAGTATGGAGAATTACATATTTTCCTGGATGCCCGAAGAACCTCTATAGTCCAACCACAAATATCAACATATGGAGGAGGTGACACCCACAATTGTGAAACCTTTCACAATATCCACTCCAACGATGACGGACCATCAACGAGATACGGCGGACGCTACAACCCGCATACTGTTGAACATGAAGATGGCCCTTCAACAGCATATGAAGAGGAAGATGATCCAGATTATGAACAATTTTCTGGAAATGACGATGCAACAACAAATTCTGACGATAGTGATGACGCTCATGACACAACATGGGCCGATATTGAGCTGGAACAACCATATGTTGAACCAGCGAATCGTGATAATGAAACTATTGCGGTCGGCAAAATATACGATTCATACGACTTACTGAAAGAAGCCGTAGCAATAGAAAATATTCGGCAATCTCGAATTTTTAAAACAGAATACAAACGTGTGAGATCGTGGAAGGCAGTTTGCATCTATGATGACATGTGTATGTGGCACATTCAGGCGGGAAACCTTCTCAACACCAATTTGTGGAAGGTGAAAAAATATCAACCACTACACAACTGCAGAGTGGATTATAAAAGAGCCCGTAATGACAGGCTTATGACGAGCAAGATCATAGCGAGTGTAATCGCTACAAAAGTGCATGTTGATCCGGACTACAGCATTAAACTCATGATGCAAGACATATACGACAAATTCAGAATCAATGTCAAGTACAAAAAGGCGTGGTATGGACGTTTGATTGCCCTTGAACGAAGATTCGCGAACTGGGAGGCGGCCTACAATGATTTACCCAATTTGTTGCTTGCGATAAGAGAATCAAATCCGGGGTCAGTGGTAGATTTCCAACCAAAACCAACCAGTCATGATGGTACGTATGAATTTCATCGTGCGTTTTGGGCTTTTAAAGCTTCCATTGATGGGTTTGAACACTCTCTGCCCGTAATATCTGTTGACGGTACTCACTTGTACGGAAAGTTCAAGGGTCATCTCTTGGTTGCAGTCGCCATGAATGCTAACCGTGAGATTTTCCCTCTAGCGTACGCAGTTGTGGAAAGTGAAAACACAAATAGTTGGTCCTGGTTTTTGGAACACATTATGACTTATGTTGTCAGACCAAATCGGCATGTGTGCATAATATCAGATCGACACCCTGGCATCCTAAGTGCCTATCAATCAGTACCTCAATTGAAAACCTCCCAAGTTTCGAAGCGGTTCTGCCTCCGACACATTAGAAGCAATTTCATGACAAAATTCAGGAGCACTGAACTGAAAAAGCTCTGTTGGCAGGCCGAGAGTACACCCATGGTGAGTGAATTTTACCAAACAATGGCTCAAATTCGTGCTACGAATGAGAATGCGTTCACGTATTTGAACGCTATTCCACGTGAAAATTGGGCACTGTGCTTCGACGTTACGGCATCCTCACAACAAATCTTTCCGAGAGCTTCAATAACGTTCTAAAGGGATGTCGAACACTTCCAATCACCGCGCTGGTTAAGGCAACTTATAACAAAGTTGTCCAACTATTTGCCGATCGACGTAGGGCCGGTCAGATGTGGCGGCAAGCTGGGTTCCTATATCCGCAAAATATATGGAAAGATATTCTTGAACGTTCACAGAAAAGACATCAGTGCACTATTGTCCCGCATAACCGAACAACGGGAATATACTCTGTTTCCATCCGTGGTTATCCGCCGGTAACGGTAAATCTCTCACGTTGCGAATGTGATTGCGGTTTTTGGAAGCAAAATGGATTTCCATGTGTGCACCCCTATGCAACATGCCATTTCTTAGAAATAACTGTAGATCATCTCATCCCGGACGTGTATAAATTAGGTGCGTACATCCGTACGTATGCTACAGATATTATGTCTATGCATGACGTAAGTGCGATGCCTGATACCGGATATGTAGTGATACCGCCTCAAAGTGCTCGACGCAGTCAAACCGGTAGGCCTCAAAGAACACGATTTACAAATGAATAAAAATTGATATGCGTCCGAGTAGGAGAGCACAAGAGTAAAAATTTATATGTATTTTGTAACTCTTTTTCAATGAATAAAAATTTGTATTTCTTTGTCATGTTGTTGTTCAAGATAAATGAGTAATGAAATATTTATATTATTTAATTTTGCGGGAACATTGAATAAATTCGTAATACAATATAATTAAATATGTATATTCACTATTACAATCTCTAACATAACAATTGATTATTTCTTATTTCATAAAATAATACACATCTTTCCAACTATAAATATCACTAAATTATTTATTTTTGTACATATTATGCTTCATATGCTCTATTATTTATCCCACTCACAAATTTTTATAGAAATATTTGTGTTTTCCTCTTTGAAAAAAATGTAACTACCCAATCAAAAAAACCTAAGAAGTCTATTAAAAAAAATTAAAAAATTAAATAATTCATTTTTTTACTTTCCCTACACCTCCCGCAGCATCTTCCAGCAGTTTGCAAAAAAATTAAAACCAAATTTCGGATTCATGTAATCCGTTTTTTAACTTCCCACCTAAAGCCCTACATATTTCGGATTCATCTAATCCGTTTTTTAACTTCCCACCTAAAACCCTACATATTTTGAATTCATGGAACACGTTTCCCGTTTTTTTAGAAACCCTAAAAAAAGTCCCGTATTTCGGCAACCTATGTGCGGCACTCCCGTAAAAAAAGAAATCACCCTGACCACTAAGCGCTATAGGCGAAAATCGGGGAGCCTGACCACCGCCTAGTGCGTAGGCGGGAGCTACTCAGACGCCTAGAACGATTTTTATAACAGAGTGAGGAACATTTAAGCGCGGGTTCTGTAAATAAAAGGGCTTAGGAAATGGTTGAAAAGTCGTGCATTTTTTTGTTTCTAAAAGATGAAAATGTTTTCCTTGGCACCACAACCACAAGAATAGAATCTGGAAACACTTCAAACTAAACTAATTGATGGAGTATATAGACTCGGACCCCCGGGTCTCACGACTATTGGGCCCGGACAGCGGCCCACGTACACTCAGCTGATAGCATTTTCATTATTGTACATTATTATTATTATTATTCAGGTGTTCTAGATTAGCTTTTATATTATCATTCCATTTATGTAACTGGGTCTGTCAGACCCATATTAGAGGCCCAGACCCGGATATTCTTCTATATATACTCCCTTAGGGAGTTCTTGTAAACCTAATTCACAACTCATTCATACATTATTATTCATTCATCTTCTTCCTCACATTAGCTCAAATCTCTCCATTTTATTATAGTTTGGATACCCCTATAATCCATCAATGGTGCTTTCATTGAGAGATTAGAGCAAAATCAAGTGAGAAATCTTCCCAAAACATACAAAAAATTCATTCCAATCACAAAAAATCAACCAAAAAGTGCTCTAAAAAAGGGAGAGCAAAAAAAAAAAGAAAAACCATCGCAACTCCCGGCAACACCGCATCGAACTCTTCTCCGGGAGCGTGTAGCTCACTCACTGCTGTGGCGGCCAGTATCAGGGATATCAACGCTTTAAAATCTAGGCGTCTACTGGAATTTGCGTCTAAGTTTCAGCTCACATTCCTCATTTTTGCTTCTTTTCTTCTGTACTTCTTTCCAGTGGCGTACTAATACTGGCTCGGTCGAAAAAATGGAGGCGAGGAGAAATGACAGTCCGGTGTATACGCGCCATTGGAGAACCGAATCTGAAGTGCTAAATCCTCCGGGAGCTGAAGCATCTGCCGCGCGTCCACACCATGTTCGCTCTTCCTCCGTCTCCGGAATGTCCAGCATTAAGCGCACTCAGAATGTCGCAGCCAAAGCCGCTGCTCAACGGCTTGCTCGAGTGTTGGCCTCCCAAGCTGCCACCGGCAATGACGATGATGAGCAAGAAGACAGTGATGATCTCGGCTTCCGATTCGCTCCTCAACCTCTATCCAGAACTGCCTCCAGTCCCCCAAGCTGCCACCAGCAATGACGATGATGAGCAAGAAGACCGTGCTACTTGGATCTCAGCCGCAGAAGGTGTCCCACTTGACACATGTAAAGGGGGAAAGTTTTTGCAGCAGATTATTGGTGGGCTAGGTCAAAATTGGTCAAAAGGGGTGGTGGCCCTCCTCAAATTGGTCAATAGGATCCAATTTCTACATGAATCTGTTATTTCAGCCCATTATTCTGGCCCAAATAAGAGCTAAGTGCCCAATACTCCTATTTATACACTTAAAATGTTTATTAAATGATAGTAGCATAATTATTACTATTATTAATTATATTATTTCCACCACCATTATGGCGAGTTAAAAACCCCTGAGGTGGTGAAGACCATTAGGACGGATTAAAATTTCCCGAGGTCGCTAGTGATGTATTATTATTGGCGTTATTATTTTTATCACTGTCATTAGACCGGGTCAAAAAACCCCATAGTGGTGGACCTGAGCTCTAGTCTACCGAACATCTTTATTTAATAATTCAAATTATATTTAGGTCTATCGACCTACCCTAGTCAGCTTTATTTGGTGACTCGGGTATCTAAAATTGAGAGCCGCTATCGGCCGCACATGATATTATTATGCTTAAGAGCGGTAACGGTACACCTCAGTCTAAGATACCGCATATTACACTGACCCCTCAGAGCGAAGATGCTCAGGAAAGGTCGACAGAGCACATCGATCCGGCCCCTCAGAGCGAAAATGCTCAGGAAAGGCCGACGGTGTCCCCAGGACGAAGGGCCCGCAAAGAGCCCACGTCTTGAAATGGGAAGCTTACCGCGTCGTCCATTCGTGAAATCGCAGGACGACAGGTCTGAAATCATGGCCGAGGTGACAAAAATCCCCAAACTCAGGGATGAGAAACGGCAGCCGTCGGTAACCGACCAAAAGCCTTAGCCCACGTCATAAATAGGCGACGGGACCTCCTTGAGATCACAGGACGATCCAGTAGGACTCCTTACCGGCCGAGGAACTATCGACCCCCTTGGCCGAAGCCTGAAAGAAGGATACCCACTTCTCGCTCAAAGAAGTAAAGAGGAAGAATATAAAAGAGGGACAGCCGAAGGACTGTGCATTTGCCGGCCTAAAGCGATATCCCCAAAAAATAAAAGAGGGGCAGCCGAAGGACCGCGCATTTGCCGGACTAAAGTGATATCCCCACAAATTAAAAGAGGGACAGCCGAAGGACCGCGCATTTGCCGGTCTAAAGCGATATCCCCACAAATCAAAGGAGGGAAGCCGAGGACCGCGCACTCGCCGGCCTCGAGTAATAAAAAATAAAATCCCCAAAATTTGACTAAGTACATATCAGACAAATACTATACATATCAGATGAGCGCCCAGCGCCGTCCCTCAGACGAGCGCCCAGTGCCGTCCACTATCTCAGACGAGCGCCCAGCGCCGTCCCTCATCTCAGACGAGCGCCCAGCGCCGTCCCTCATCTCAGACGAGTGCCCAGCGCCGTCCATTATCTCAGACGAGCGCCCAACGTCGTCCATTATCTCAGACGAGCACCCAACGCCGTCCATCATCTCAGACGAGCGCCCAACGCCGTCCCTCATCTCAGACGAGCGCCCAACGCCGTCCATCATCTCAGACGAGCACCCAGCGCCGTCCATCATCTCAGACGAGCGCCCAGCGCCGTCCATCATCTCAGACGAGCGCCCAGCGCCGTCCATCATCTCAGAACATCACGATTATCTCGAGACCGATCTTAGTCATTCCTTTATCGGATGACGACCGTTGCATGGATTTTTGGACCGGCCCCTCATTGCCGTCTTCCTCACATCACGCCTGGCCCCTCAGCCTCGGCGTGATTATCTATCTCAAGAGCGGCTTCCTCAGCGCTGAGTCTTGAGCTAGCGATCGGGCTCACCATTCCTTCTTGGATGGTGACCGTCACCTTTATATGACGATTGGCCCATCATGGTCTCGTCATCATTTATTGGAACGGCTCATCATCGCCGTCATCCTCACATCGCGGCAGACCCCTCGGTCTCAACGCGATATTGAGCTAGCGATTGGGCTCACCATCCCTTCCTAGATGGTGACCATCGCCTCTATATGACGGCTGGCTCATCATCGCCCCGTCATCATATTATCAGATCAGCTTCTCAGCATTGCCATCCGGACATCACGACCGGCCCCTCGGCCTCAGCGTGATTATCTATCTCAAGACCGGTTTCCTCAGCCCCGAGAGTCTTGAGCTAGCGATCGGGCTCACCATCCCTTCCAAGATGGTGACCGTCGCCTTTATATGACGATTGGCCCATCATGTCCTCATCATCATTTATTGGAACGGCTCATCATCACCGTCATCCTCACATCGCAGCAGACCCCTTGGTCTCAACGCGATCTTGAGTTAGCGATTGGGCTCGCCATCCCTTCCTGGATGGTGACCATCGCCTCTATATGACGACCCACTCATCATTGCCCCGTCATCATATTTCGGATTGGCTCCTTTCATCGCCATCCGCGCATCACGACCGGCCCCTCGGCCTCGGCGTGACTATCTATCTCAAGACCGGCTTCCTCAGCGCCGAGAGTCTTGAGCTAGCGATCGGGCTCGCCATCCCTTCCTGGATGGTGACCATCGCCCTTATATGACGATCGACTTCATTCTTGCTTCGTCATCATATTATCGGATCGGCTCATCATCTCCGTCCGCACATCACGACCGGCCCCTCGGCCTCGGCGTGATTATCTATCCCCAAGACCGGTCTCAGTCATTCCTTCATCGGATCGCGACCGTTGCTTGGACTTTTGGATCAGTCTCATAGTGCTGATGACCTCACATCATGACCGGCCCCTCGGCCACGACGTGAAGCTCTATCCCAACACCGGCTTCATCAGCGCCGAGTGTGTTGGGCTAGCGATCAGGCTCGTCATCCCTTCCTGGATGGTGACCATCGCCTCTATATGACGATCGGCTTCATCATCGCCTCGTCATCATATTTCGGACTGGCTCCTCATCATTGTCGTCCGCACATCGCGATCAGCCTCTCGGCCTCGACATGATTATTTATCTCAAGACCGGCTTCCAGCGCCGAAGTCTTGTTATAGTGATTGGGCTCGCCATCCCTTCCCGGACGGCGACCGTCGCCCCTATATGACGCACGGCTTATCATCGCCTCGTCCTCACATTTAGACCGGCCCCAGTGCTGAAGTCCTTATCTAGCGACCAGGCTCGCCAATCCCTTTCTTGGATGGTGACTGTCGCCTTCATATGATACACGGCTTATCATTGCCTTATCCTCATATTCGGACCGGCTCGTCAGCGTTGTCGTCCTTATATTCGGACCGACTCATCAGCGTCGTCGTCCTCATATTCAGACAGGCGTCCACCGCCTCGTCCCCCTATTCAGATATAGCGAACGTCTTGCGGTCTCCGGCTAAAAAGCTAAAGGAGCCCAGAGTTCAGCCATAGACCATCGGCCATATATTGCTCTGTCATCTTTATTTGATGACGAAGAGCTCATCTACAGGCCCATCAGCCATATATCGCTCTGTCATCTTTATTTGATGATGAAGAGCTCATCTACAGGCCATTCGGCCATATATTGCTCGATCATCTTTATTTGATGACGACGAGCTCATATACAGGCCAATCAGTCATATATTGCTCGGTCATCTTTATTTGATGGCGAAGAGCTCATCTATAGGCCCATCAGCCATATATCGCTCTGCCATCTTTATTTGATGACGAAGAGCTCATCTACAGGCCCATCGGCCATATATCGCTCCGTCATCTTTATTTGATAACGCGAAGCTCATCTACAGGCCCATCGGCCATATGTCGCTCTGTCATATTTATTTGATGGCGCGAAGCTTATTTACGGGCCCATCGGCCATTTTATCGCCCCGTCATCTTTATTTGATGACATGGCGCTCTCATATAGGCCTCTCAGCCATGCATCGCCCCGTCGTCTTTATTTGACGACGTGGAGCTCTTATGCAGGCCCCTCGGTCATACAACGTCCCGTCGTCCTTATTAGACGATGTGGAACTGTCATACAGGCCTCTCGGCCGTTAGCCTCCCAGCCGTCTTTATTTGACAACGTGGAGCTCTTATGCAGGCCCCTCGGCCATACAGCGCCCCGTCATCCTTATTCGACGACGTGGAACTCTCATACAGGCCTCTCGGCCGTTAGCCTCCCAGTCGTCTTTATTTGATGACGTGGAGCTCTCCTACAGGCCTCTTGGCCACACATCGCCCCGCCATCTTTATGTGATGGCGTGGAGTTCTTATATAGGCCCATCGGTCATATATCAACCCGTCATCTTTATTTGATGACGTGGATCTCATACAGGCCCCTCGGCCATACATCTCCCCGTCATCTTTATTTGATGACATGGAGCTCTCATATAGGCCTCTCGGCCATACATCGCCCCGTCATCTTTATTTTATGACGTGGAACTCTCATCCGGGCACCTCGGCCATGCATCGCCCCGTCATCTTTATTTGATGACGTGGAGCTCATCATACCGGCCACTTGGCCGTCTCTCCTGGTCATCTTTATTTGATGGCTTGGACTTCTTATAGGCCTCTCGGCCACATGTCTCGGTCACTTTATTTGATGACACGGACATCACATTATGGACGGCCACTCGATCTATCTCTTAGTCATCTTTATTTGATGACTAGGCCTACTTATCATGTCGAGCTACTCACATCTAGAGACTGATCTCGGCCATCCCCTCAGCAGACGGACACCGTTGCAGCTCCACACCTAGGTCAAAGGGCTCACCCCTTTTGCTTCATTTTTGGGGCATCTGGTGTACTCTTTTTCCATCATTAGGATTTTTTCCAACTGGGTTTTTTCCTAATGAGGTTTTTAACGAGGCATCTCCCCATTGTGGATCAAAAGGCGTCGACCCTCGGCCCCCTATTGAAGACATAACGAGACATGCACTACTCTACTCCTCTTCACCTCACTACATTCACCTCAAGGAGTGGGGGACTGGAAGAGCGAGGGACTTAGCGCCTCCATTAGCCAAAGAAGCAGAAATTCAAAAATTTTCACGAAGTTTACTCATCAGACGATAGATCAGCACACAGTTCTACTCCCTTTCGCCTCGAGTACTCTCGACTCAAGGAGTGGGGGACTCCTGATAGAGTATATAGACTTGGACCCCCGGGTCTCACGACTATTGGGCCCGGAAAGCGGCCCACGTACACTCAGCTGATAGCATTTTCATTATTGTACATTATTATTATTCAGGTGTTCTAGATTAGTTTTTATATTATCAGTCCATTTATGTAATCGGGTCTGTCATGCCCGTATTAAAGGCCCAGACCCGGATATTCTTCTATATATACTCCCTTAGAGAGTTCTTGTAAACCTAATTCACAACTCATTCA